GACCTTTTAAATTTTTAAGTCACCTGTATGTTTTGTTTATAATATTTTGTGCTTTTACCCTCACTGTAAAAAGTCTGTAAATTAGCAGTTTTCCGTGTTTTGTGATTAGTGTTTTTTATTTTTCCCCATTTATTTCTTCTTTTTAATTGCATAATGGGTCATTGATCTTTGTTCTGACAACTTTTAATCTTGAAATGTTTATGAAAGTTAAACAATTGTTGAATGAATTGCAGTGTTTCCATGGCGCAGAAATGAATTTATGATCAATAAGCAGCCCCAGATAGCACAGACAGCTGTCATCTCTTACCTTATGCTGTGCGCTTCAGGGCCATTCTCCTCTGTTTTTGAGGTGATGTTCATAAGTAATCCTTTTATATGTCCGATGTGGTCCAAACACAGTGAATTATGTCTGATCAAACAAAAGAATAGTGAAAAATGACAACAATGATCGCTCCCTGTGGCTTGTACAGCACCTCTCATCAGTTGGAATACAATAACTTTAGCATGGATTATGGTAGAGACAATTTTCTTTTTTTCCTATCATTACAGACATGTGCAGGAACTACCAAAATTAATTACAGCACACTAGACAACACAGAACCTAAACAGTACACTTTCACATTGGAGTTTATAAAAAAAAAATACAAAAGGCGCCTCTTTTTTAGGTGTTTATTATAACACAGACAACATATACAGATATTTAAAACACTTTCAATAGTGTTTCATGAAAATTTAAAGGGTTTTCATTAAAATAATACCAAATTTTTGCATTTACACCTCTGAATGTGGATTTGGGAAGCTTTTAAATTTGGGAAGGCAAAATCCAGGCGGAAATCCCAAAATAACAGCAGAGTTTAACTGGTTAAAGTACTCTAAACTCAAAACTCTTACACAAAAAATGCATATTAAATATGCCTCATGGCAAGATAGACATTTGCATGGAATTGCTCAGTTGTTCTGTAATTCCTCTGTAAGGAAAGGCACTGAAAGATGTTACTGCGTTCACCTGTGTCCTGTTTATGTGTTCTGGATGCTGAGTTGGCAGTAAATGTCGTAATAAGCTAGCGTTTACCGTCTCCTTCTGACAGCTGCTTCGCTGCAGGGATGTTAAGGAATGTCTGGATTTCACAGAGCAGGACAAAGACGATAATAAATTAGATACTTTAGTGTAGTCTAATGGGGGTTTTGCCTCTGCTGACAACTAAATGGTTGGCGTCCCCGTTGTCTGCAGTCGGTAATGCTTGGCCTTTTCCCCGCTGCTTTATTTTGTTTTGGAAGAGACTCTGGATGTCCCGCCTTGTGCACACTGACATGCCAACAGTAGACATTCATGCTTTGTGCCCCGCGCTCTTTTGATGAAGGATTCCTTAATCTTCCTGTCGACTCGATGGCTTTATCTTAATTGTTGTCTAGGATTCTTGGCTTCCTGTCCCATAGCTTTGGAGCTCACGTCCTGCTCTTTTGAATGGCTGTCCTTTGGTCCAGAATTCGGTCTCAGTGCTCGGTGAATGAGAAAATGAGCCTGCTGTCATCTTTTTTAAAGAGCTATTCGGATGGTAATTATTTGTGATGGGGATTTAAGACATTTTCAATGGCTAGTCTGTGAATTTATTTCCATTGGATTTTAGAGTGCATGTGTTAGGGCTGGGCGATTTGGCCTCAAATCAAATCCCTGTCATTTTAACATTTGGCCTAAAATAAAATTGATCATTTTAACTCAATTATGATTAATGAGCGATTTATTTTTTATTATTATAATTCTTTTTTTGCCCTTATAGTATACTGACAAGTTTTATATGCTGTGTAAAGGTATCTCTGGCGCAGCTTCCAATCATCGTCAATGTAGTGGAAAGTAATGCTCAAGAATGAGTCTAACTTGACCAGAGATCAGGGGCCTCATGTATCAACGCTGTGTATGCACAAAAACTTTGCGTACGCCAGGTTTCACGCTCAGAATCGCTCACGTTTGGATTTACTAACAATGAACTGAACGTGGGAATGTGCGCAGCTTCACGGCAGCTTTCTGGCTGGCGTACGCACATTTTTTGTGCGTGTCTGTTTTATTTCCATTGGCGACTCCTAGAGGCAGTTGTGTTAAATTGCTCTCTACAAAGTGTCTGAGCCTTGCAATGGCAGCTGTATGAGACGGGTTCATCTAGCAGGTATATAAGGTTTCCATACCATACATTTGACCAGCTAAACATTAAAGCACAATTTGCAGCGGTCGACTGTTTTCCCAATGTAATCTGAGCGATCTACATAGCATGCACATTGCTATAAAGACACTATCTGAAGATGAATTTGCATGTGTGAATCAGAAACATTTCCATTCAATAAATGTGCAAATAAAATATGATGCTTATTGATATGAACTTATTGATGATTCCTACTTGTCTTTCTCGTGATAAATAGTTGGCAAAATCTGATATGTAGCGGGGGAAAAAAGAACAAAGAGTTCTTCAGACGCTGGATTCGAGCCGAGTTCAGGCTCGAACGTGTCAATTCATGATCACATGCGTCTTACGAGTTGCGCCACTGAGACCGATAAGTGTACTGCAACATTTTTCAGATATAAACCACACTATTTCTTTTTTTTTAATGCACTCAGTGCGATATGTTCAGACCCAACTGTGTTAACCGCATCAGCTAAACTCAGCCACTCTATTTTTTTCTTTTGTTGTTAATTCCGGAGAACAAACTTGCAAATAACACCGCTTTTCTCCGGTCTACCTCCGAAAGCAGCACCTCCAATTCACATTCTGTTCAAAGTTTCTCTTCTTGCTTGCTTTGCTTTTGCCGTTGCTTTTTCTATGGGTTTTGCCATTAGCATAGTCATTAGCATATTCATACGGGGGAGGAGGCAGGGAGGGGTTTTGTGCTCGTGCATGTTGCGCTCAATTTTACGTTCATTCGGATGTACAAAAGAATATGCGTGAGATTCGGCGTACGCAGTGTTTCATACATCTGAATTTTTTTCTGCGTACGCACATTTACAGCTTTGTGCGTACGCAATGTTTTAGTAAGATTTCCACGCAAGTCTTCGTACATGAGGCCCCAGATGTGGCTGCAAAGTGGCCGCAGAAGTAGAAATCAGCAACAGGCCTTAACAAAGCAGGGTCACGTGACACGTAGGGAAAGTAATTGAAAAAATTGACCCAGAAAAATTAGATCGATTATAGGTTCTGAATGTCGATTTCGATTACTTTTCGATTAATCAACAAGCCCTAGTATGTGTTTTTCTTCCAATGCCAATGTTAATTATTAATTCCCAGTTGATTTCCCTCTTGTCTTTTGACAAAGACCTAGATTGTGCAACACCAAGCTCACTGTAATTTAAAACTTTTTGTTTTAGTAGCTAATTTGTATAAATTTGTGCGATCTCATTTGTATGATTTACTTATCCCTCAATGACTTTTGGGTTTGGGGGTGTGGTTTGGTGCCACACAGTTGTGCGGAAACCAACGTTTTTACAGTGTAGATGCAAACTCGGCTATCAATTCCCACACTTGATGATCATTTTAGTAATTTTGCAATTATAATTTTTGCGATTCTTATTTTTACCGCATGCTTTTTTCCTCCATATATAGCATTGGCCAATTGTAATGAACCCAGTCAGTTTCGAAATGCCACAAATGGTGTTTAAATGGTTCACTTCAGTTGCCTCTTTCAATGAAAAGCCTTTTTGTGGAGCAGATGTGGGACTGATGGTGTTTGTGTTGAACTGTGCATTTGGACCAGGCTTTGCTGAGTGGGCAGAACTAGTTAGCGTGATGTTTGCTGAATACCAGATGAAACAGAGGCTCTTTTGTTTGGGCCCATGCAGCGCTGGAGACCTCTGTCTGTTTAATGCTGTTATCTCAGCCCTTGCTTGCTTAAATGTTCTCCGAGCTCCTGCCACGTAGACCAGCCTGAACCAACAGACACGGACAAAGACCCCGTTGTGTTCTCAGCTCACCTTCCCAGCAGGCAGTCTTGTGATTTCACTTGAGCAGCACAGTTATCTTAAGCTCATCTTAATGTAATGTTCTGTGAAGGTCACGGGGGTCTGGTTGTTTACTAATTAACTCTCACGTTACCATCACTCTCTCTTTCTAAGTGTGTGTGTGCTTGTTTATGTGGTTTACGAGGACACAGTATGACATGACCTAGTTGTACCATTCTAACATGGCATATGCCCTGTGTCCTTGTAATTCAAAATGCTTAAAAGTCATATTTAATGGCATCTTTAACTTAATTTGCCCCAGGTTGGGTTTGAGGGTAAGGGAGGCAATAATAAGTGTTTTTTACAGTATATATAAAGTGCATTAAACCTACGGAGAGTCCTTGTAAACCTGTGTTTGTGTGTGTGTGAAGTATTAGATGTATAGTGTCACATTCTCAGCTTGCTAAAAACAAACAAAAAGTTTCTATATAGCAGTGTTTCTCAACCACATTCCTGGAGGACCACCAACACTGCATGTTTTGCATGTCTCCTTTGTCTGTCACCATTACAGGTCTTTCAGTCTCTGCTAATGATCTGATTATCTGAGTCAGGTGTGTTTGGTTAAGGAGACATATATGCAGGGCTTGACATTAACACTCGCCAAATGCGGGTAGATTTCAGTTGTGGCTGGTTTGACAGCCGCTCCCACTAGCCACTTTGGCTGGTTAAAGATCATTTTAAAATTTTTTTTTTTTTTTTAAAGCAGGGTTCGACAAGAAAGATGGCCCAATATTCGTGCAAATCTAATCTTAGAATAGAGATGCAGCACGACTGACATAAATAACTGTTCATGCAAGCAAAAAAAGCAGGTGAATACTGAATGAGAGGATGAATACCCGCGCGAACACATGATGTGATGCATGCAACTGTAAAAAAGTGCACGCTCCCATTTACTTGCGAGAAGCAACCGTGCCTTGAGGCTTATTGTCCTCCTCTGCAACTTTTTCACTCTTCAACTAATTCTTTTCACAGATTTTCTTCATTTATGTTGATGATATAATATAGAATGAGTCTGAAGGTGTGTTGCTGTTTTTGCAGGCAGCTGTGTGAAGTGCAACAAGGCGGTGTATGGAGCCAGTCAGGCGTGTCAGGCCATGGGGAGCCTCTATCACGACAGCTGCTTCACCTGTAGCGCATGCAGTGAGTACCAGTACATTACATTTATGCATTTAGCAGACGCTTTTATCCAAAGTGACTTACTAGCGATAAGCAATACCAACTATTTTCTCTGATTCAATACCAAGTATTTCAAGAAAAGTATCCTCGATACTGATACTGATAACGGTACTTAAATTAAATATTTTATAGTGATTTTATAATATTTTTTTTAAAATCACCTTCAGTGTTATTATTAAATAAAACAGGGGTTCTCAAACTTTTCAACAATTCCAGTTACTCGCGACCCCCAAAATAACAATTACAGTGACTCTCGACCCCCATTATCCTCGGAGGTGGTTATAAACATAAATATTGCACATAATGATGCACACTCCAAAAAGCCTATCGTTATATAAATACAAGCATATTGACAACACTTGACAGTCTAACAACAAGATACGTTTTATAGTCAATTATTCGTTTGTTTAATTTAATATTAACCTCACCTGTTGGCCACAATGTTTACAGCACAAGTCTATTCTTGGTTTAATTTAAGCGACTTTGAGATCATGCTCCATGTTTATTCATGTTCTTTATTTTTAATGTAATCTATGTGAGTGCTGTAAAGGTGTCAACATTTCATATTGTGTCGTACTAACACTATTGTGCAACTAACGCTTTTGCTGATTTAATATAATATAATCACGAAAGAGGTCGCAATCTATTGGAAAAAAAAATAATTGAAAGGCTGATGGGTTTTTATTAGCACATTGTCTTTTAAAATAACTATTAAAGACTATTTTTAATCTTCTGTAGGTTATGGATAACATATGCTAATTCTAATCTTCTGTAGGTTATGGATAACATATGCTAATTCTAATAGTTTAATCATTTCTTTGATTTTTGTAAATCACCAAGCGACCCCCCCCCCCCCACCCCCACCCCCCACTTATTGTCCTGTGACCCCCCAGGGGGTCCCGACCCACACTTTGGGAATCACTTAAATAAAACACAATAGACATAATTGCTATTATATAATATGTATTATCATTATATAATAAACAGCTTGCTAAAATAACTATCACAGCGTCTGACCAAAGAAATTGAAATTTTAACCCATTTGAATGATTTTTCAACTAGCAAAGCACCAACAAACGGTATCCTTTCCTGTGTATTGAATGCTCAAACTTTCATTTAGCCCTTCAATTGCACTATATTAGTGTACTAATGTAGGGATTAGTAAATGAGTGTATAGACGGTGATTAAGGACATAGCACTAGCACTAGTTATGCTCTGGCCAATTTTTGAGTGAGATGCTAGTGGTCTAATCCAATGAAAACATTTAGGCTAAGCTAAGCTAAAAGTGCTGCTAGACCCAGAGATTGGTATGAATGGGGTATATGCTGAGGCATGCTAATAGGACTTTTAATTTGCCATTAACCTGGGTTAAGCGCTTCCAGCGAATTGAATGCCAATGCAAAATCCGGTGCGTTTAAGGTCTGTTTTCTTTAAAAATCAGCGATCTCCACTAGCTGAGTGATATCCGAATTAAAGTGGGTCTCAGTTTGTACAAGAAGCACTGCATTAAATTACATTTCCCCCGCCATATCTTTATTATATGAGCATTTGTTTTACCCCAGTATATTCAATGGAGCTTCTGCGCTAGCCTGCTGATTCTGACGGGCGCGTGCGAGTAAACGGCTTTTTGTCTCGTTTTAGGCTTGAGCAACTAAATAAATGCTAAAGTTTATTTAACTGAATGTATTTTAATGACATTACAACATCAATGCTGTATAAGGAACCATATAAAATGAGAAAAAGTTCACAATAACAGGTCACCGGAAGTGTATCAGCATGGGAACAGCACTAGCTCAGCATATACCCTATTTGTACAGTCTGAGGAGTGAATGTAGTCTGGATACTCATTTATTTCCTATAATGGTCAATTTTGACCGGAAACACCACAGGTGTAACTAAGTTGAGTAAAACACTCAAAATTCAATGAAAGAGGTGATCATCACTTCTATATGTTTAAGTACATAATGTGGAGGATATAATAAGGTCTCAAGGCAATCAGATATAAACCCCAATATTTATGGGTGTTTTCAGTTGTAAATCGGTCAGATTTGACCCGAACACAACAGGAAGGTTAATAGTTTCAGTTTGTTCCAGAAATACTTATTAATGTTTCTCATATTTTAGTCTTCAGAAAGTAGTTGGTCTGTGCAGTAAGGAGTAGATTTGTGCGTTTAGCTTGCGGTTCTGCCATAAATATGTGTGTGTTTGTGTATCACTGTGTGTGTACGAGTGTTCAGAGCATATAAGCTGACAGGAAACAGAGTCGGGTATGGAGTGAAGTAAACTAAACAGAGCTCAGGCGCTGCGCTGAAGCTCAGATAAACCTCATTCCATGCATTCATCCAGTCTCGTTTCCTCACACTTTATTTAGCTCCGCTCGGGCCCCTGGGAATGGGAGCTATTTGAAGGAAAATGAGCATTCCTGAGCTTCTCCTCTGCATGACTGCCTTTGACCCACAGCGTCGCTGTCTTTTGTTCTCCATGTGTGTCCAGAGTGGTGTTATGAGCGCAGTAAACGCCTCTGCGTGTACCTTCACCTGTTTACACGGATTACTAGACTAAAGATAGTAAGAATGCACAGCTTATACGTGCGCTGGAGAGGAATGCTGGGAAGGTGGATGGACGCTGGGATGAGCAGATGGAGGAATGTCTGATGTGTTTTGTCAGCTGGAGCCAGAGAGGGAACGAGAGAAACAGGTGTTTAATCTGTATGGTCAGATGAAGACACAAATCCATGGCCGAAGCATTGCGAGTGCTTTGAAAATACATACTTGTCTACCAAAGTTATTATAGCTAACGAAAATAAACGAAAAAAACTTTTTCGTTAACTGAAATAAAAATGGGTGACGCAGTGGCGCAGTAGTTGCAGTAGTTTCCTTACAGCAAGAAGGTCGCTGGTTCGATCTTCGGCTCAGTTGGCGTTTCTGTGTGGAGTTTGCATGTTCTCCTTGCGTTCGCGTGGGTGCTCCGGTTTCCCCCACAGTCCAAAGACATGCGGTACAGGTGAATTGGGTAGGCTAAATTGTCCGTAGTGTATGAGTGTGTGTGTGTGGATGTTTCCCAGGTATGGGTTGCGGCTGAAAGGGCATCCGCTGTGTAAAAATGTGCTGGATAAGTTGGCGGTTCATTCCACTGTGGTGACCCCAGAGTAATAAAGGGACTAAGCTGACAAGAAAATGAATAAATGAATGAAATAAAAATAAAAACAAGAGTTTTTTTTAAGAACTAGAACGAACTGAAATTGTACTGTGTACATATAAAACTAACTGACTAAAATTATAGCAAAAAACGTCCTTCGTTTTCATCTTTGTTAATGTATTTAATACATAAGCCTTTTAGAAGTAAATCTATTTACTTCACACTGCTGGTGTTTGATCCATACAGCACCTCAGAGCCTGTAATTCTGCTGCCATTGACCAGATCAAGCCGGTCCTCCTCCAGTCAGTCCTTGCTGTTGCTCCCACGACAAAAACAAGGAGTGCACATGACAGCAGCACGGTGCCAGTATTAAATACGACCCGAACAGACGCTTAAAAGTATTAATTAACCATATTTATGCCCAATAATTGTTTTTATTTCTGTATTAGTGATCTCGATTGCAAACAAATCTCTCTTTTTTGGAAATTAGAACACTGAATTAATATGAAATGTCAGTATCAAAAACGAAGACTCACCTTGCACTGGTAGTAGCCTATCTCTGTGAATGGAAAGGAAATATTGTTTTTCTTTGGTTTACAAAAGCACAGTATTTCATTTTTTGGGAAAGCAGGTTATACACAATTGAATGTAAACCCTTTACAGTTTTGAATGAGACTCCAAAAAAGGCACAAAAAGGGGATATTAGGTGGCGGAAATGTGAACATATGCAAGCAGACATTTTACACTGTAGACGTCAACTTTTGGTCAATAGTTCGGACATTCAGCAAGCTCAAACTACAGTGTCTCTTTAACATGTCTCTCTCAGCTGCTTTAAATAATTTATTCCCAGTTTGCATTGTTTTTATGCTGGGGTTTCAGTTCGGGATCAGTCTTGTAAAACTTCCCCACTCTAACTGATCTCTAGCAGTCGTATCCTCGTGCAGAACTCTTGCTGTGTTTGGATCAGAGCCGATCAGAGCCAAGCAGAGATTTAGAAATAGCAGCATAAACTACACCAATGGCCCAAATATGGGAAAGTGAGAAGCAAAACATCGCAAAGCCCCCATAATACTTAAAATCTCAAAAGACCAAGAGCAAATTCTTCCATTTCTGTCTCCTATTTGGACACACTTTATGGACTGCAGAAAGTTGCCTGAGCGGCAAAAAACAATCATTTTAGTTTGATGAAAGTTTCTGAATTTAAGTTTTTTGTAAACTGTAAAAAACACTTGTTATTTGTATTTTAACTGTGCGCAAATGAATGAATCACTCCCGTAGAGGACTTATTGTTCTCGAGTCATACAGAAGATTCGTTCAAAATGATTCGCCTGTCAGATGTGGTGCGCACTCTTATTCCCATACAGCAGAGAGACTGTGGCTGTGAGGAACTCCACCGTGCACGATTCAGAGAGCAGACATTTATAAACATGTGACCATGTAGAGACAGAAATGACCTGCTGTTGTGTAAATAAGATATTACATGCCGCTATTTAGCTTGTTTATTACAAGAAGTTGTAATGTGGTACTATATAGAAATTAAATTAGAGCACCACCCTAATATAATAGTTGGGGAAACACTGTTATGTAATTCTGGGCATTCCAGTATTAAGGCTAAACTCCTAGCTGTGTGCATCTGATTAGTCTTTACTAGACAGAGATATTCAACAGTTACCTGACTCATTCAACAGACTGAGCTTTTACCGCTCCCGAATTCTTTATCTCAAGATTTGCCTCTTGAACTCAATTTGGCTTGTTTTGTGGTCGCTCTGTGAAGCCGCCGTGTTTGGCTGCTGGTTTGCGTGAAGGGACAGAGAGCTGATTGTTCT